AGTAAATACAAAAATATATATGATTATAACAACTAGGTAAAAATAGGTAGATTCACAAAATTAGGCAGGGCTATACACTCATCCCTATCCTCTCTCCATTCCTACCCCAGATTAACTGAAATTTTAAAAAACTATTAAACTTTGGAGTTCTTTTCTTTATTCTCTGTTGGTGAATTCTCAAGAGTAGTCTTAAAGCACACCTGCATCCACAGAAAGTAAGCCACATCCATCCCTGGCCTGGAACCCTACGGGTCTGGCACTGGGTGCGCTCCTGGACCTGCCTAGGGGGACCAGACTGACCCTGGTGCGGTGACAGCAGGACGACATCAACAGGCATATTACCCTACTCCATGGACGAGTTCACAACTCTCGGTTGCATTTAAGGGATCAGAACCTGAGAAATGCCTGCAACTGTTTGCAGAACTTATTGGATAACGTGCATACATTTACAGCTCTCGAAAGACAGTTCATATTTTTCTTTAGAAAAAGCCTCAAAGGGATTCCTAGCACCCAACAGGTCAGATTCACTGGCAAGTAAAAAAAACCAAAAAAAAAAACACGATTTAAATGTGCAAATCCAAAATCAGCTTCAGTTAAGTCTAGTTTTATATCTTTGCCAGCCTCTGCCTGAAATGTACGAATCATAGGTTCACACCTTCAGAAACCCCAGTAATTTTCAATCTTCCTTGAAAACTCCAATCTGCAATGGATGCATCTTCTCTCTTCCAGCCAATAAACACCACAAGTAATCCAGAGAGCACTGGATGAGTCCATGAGACCTTAGGACCATCACGCAATGTAATGCGCCCAACACGTGCAAATTGTTTTTACACCACACATGAAAATGAAAGATCTTGTAAATTACTATTTGGATGGGAAATGACTATTTGGCCCTGATAGGGCAAACTAAAAAAAGGGAAATCCAGGGTGCCTTGATAGCTTCTTGGATTTCTGTAGAGAAAGACTTTCTGCCAGATTTGAAACCAAAACATCTGAGAGAATCCTAAGACACCCCCGCCCCGACACACACACCCCACCTAGTTACTCACTTGTTATAGTAATTGCAGTCTTTAACTTTGTCGTGTAATTGTTAACGGCATGGCAGATTGCTTAGAGAAATGTTAATGGGGTTAAATTAATAAAATTAATTTCATCTCAAAAAAAAAAGGAAGAATTTAAGGCATTCCCAGATAAACAAAAACTGACAGAATTTTTCACTAGCAGATCTTCCCAAAAAGAATTATTAATCAGAGTCTTTCAGGCTGAAATGGAAGGACACTAGACTATTATTCAAATCTTCATGAAGAAATAAAGAGCACTGGTAAAGGTAACTACATAGGTAAATACATAAAATACAGCATAAATTTATATTTTCTTTGTAACTGTTTTTATCTTATCTGATTTAAAAGGCAATTGCCGAAAGCAATAAATATAAATCTGAGTTGATATGCAAAAAAAAAAAAAAAAGAGGGAAATCCCCATAGTCACCTAAGCTACAGCTCACTACTCCTTCTACAGGCAAGGTGTGATACGTCACTGTACCTTTTTACGCTCTTACGCTAGCTACTTAAGCAAAGACTTTTGCATTCTGTCAACCCTCAGAGGATGGAAGGGAAGAAATCATGTATTTCAATCCAAGAACCAACAAGCCCTATTCCACGAGTGTGGCTCTGTGGCTCCAAATGATGAATTCCCTTCACAGACACATCCTCTAAGTACACCAGCTACTAAAAGCACTGTTCATACAAAACGTAGAAGGAGGAAGTCATTTGTATTCACGAATGACACAGGATTACTGCCCCTGGAGGCACAGGGAGCCTTTTCTGGACAGCTGCACTGGATTCAAGAGGCAGCAAAGCAAAGTGACACGGCCAGCTGGGCCTGCCTGCCCTCAGGGTGCCACCTGGACTGGGGAAAAGCAATGGCATCTAGATTTGCTGTAATCATGATAAAAATAAAAATGAAAAGCAACGTCTTCCTGCTCTGCTACCTACTATTCGCAAATTGCCATTTAAACAGGTGCAGACATTGATGGGTGGAGACCGGGGAGTGACCAGGGTCAAAACACCCAGATCCCAGCCCCCCTTGTGTTTATACGGCGAGCACGGCAGTGTCTCCCAGAACATCTCTGCTCTTCTCTACGGCTGCCCTGGGGTTAAATGTCACACAGGTGTTGAGTCGGCCAGGACAGTTTTGAGGATCTGCAGGGCACAGTAGAAGAGCCCTATGCAAGAGGCTATAGGTCCTGGCTCTGCCACTAACCAGCTGTGACCTTGGGCAGGTCATGTCCCTCCCTACAAAACGTTTTCCTCATCTACAAAATGAGAGAGATGCTCGATATTCCTGCTTCTAAGTTTTTCTAGTAAAAACTCAGGCAGAGAGGCACAATGCTACCCCTAGCTCCCCAGGGAGAGGAGTCACCAGCTTCAAGAAGTTTCTAGAATTTTATTTTAAAAATTATACTTCACTCTACAACGTATCCACATCAGTTTTAAAATAAAGTGCTTTGAACTGCCAGTTAAATTACCCAACTCGTTCTCCCCAAATTCTTGCATCAAGCTTCTCCCTCTGGATGCTCCATGTCTATGGCAATGCTCTGAGCTAGTCCAGCACACACACACTGTAGAAACCTTCCAGAGCTGACATTCCAGAGCTCCCGGAACTGACGTGTGCAAGCACTCCTGCTTGCTCCAGTGGTCCACGGAGCCAGAAAACTCACCTGCTTGTATGAAAGCCATTCATAGGGCTGGTCTGGCTTCCGAGAGCCCAAACAAGGGCCATTATCTAAAAAGAGAAAAAAACAAGGATGGGCTTAATGTGCATAAATACCCCTGGATTTTAATTTCCATCCCACCTTATTCTAAAAGTACCAGGTAGACTCTATTTTCTTCTTCAGATTAGAAATGATGAGTTCAGATTAGAAATGTTTTCTCCCTAGATTTTGGTCTGATTTTTTATTCGCTTATTTATCTCTGTTTTATTTCTTAAATGGGGCAGGAGAGGATAGAGAGAGAAGAAAAGGTAAATATGACTTTTAAGGGCAACACCGAATTTGTGCATTCCTCGCTAACACCCTGCTGGTGTAGACCAGGCATCGGCAGCTGAGAGGTAAGGAGCTGCC